TTCCCATTACCAACCGCCTCAGGTTTATATCTCCTTGTACAAGACCAGGGTCTATCAACTGAACCGTCATTGTCTTACAGTTCTCAAGCATCTCCTTGTCTTCATCTTCTAAGAAACTAATCGAAACAAGTTGGTTTAGAGGCATTGACATCCTATCTATACTCGAACTTATATCAGTCTTGGTCAATTGTTTCTCTATCACCAACTCCACTTTGGTCCCGCCCAACCTCTCAATTTCTCTTTTGAATTCTTCAGGCAAGTCCCTCATGATATCCAAGAGGCGCGGAAGGAGTATTCAGTTCTTTTTTCTTCAAAGCTATATTCATCGTGTCTACGCCTTTCTTGGTATTGTTCTTCAACGACATCTTCTGCATCTTGAGTTCCACTGGCGTCCGATCCCCCATTTCTTTTGAAATAACGATCTGACGACCTATTTTTCTTGGCCGCCCAATCGATTATCATAGGATTCTTGATTTTACTCTTTTGCTTCACAAGTTCGTCCTGCATCAGGTCCTCAGTAGCGAGCCTAGCAACCTCAAGCTGTGAAGCATCAAAGTCTTTTTCTGTGAACTCCACCATCTCGGCAACGTTGTCTTCTTCTTCTTGTTTGAGTTCTTCCCCTTGGGAGATTGGAGAAGAATGCAATGTAGTACTGTATTTGTCACTGAGATATTCATAGCGTACTTATAGTCGTCTGTGTCCCAAATTGCAAGCATAGGAATCCTCTCAAAACTAGGGTCTAATGATAAATTCTCAAAAAACAAAAAAAACTAAGGGAAGAAAGGAAGGAAACTGCTTGGCCAGAAGAAAAGGAAAGCATGAAGCTTCGATTTACTATATTACCTACCTTCCTGTTTTTTCCCTGACTGAATTAACAGAGAAGAGAAACTCTGTGGGTGTTCTTTGTTATGATTTATGTTGGTTCTCTTGTTGGTCAAGGATTAGGGTTGCATTGTGCTCCTCCATCGAATCCAATCCACCTGCAAGTTTCGACCTAACTCAAAACAGAGAAACAGAGCTAGTAATCATGCCAAAGAATAAGGGTAAGGAAGGAAAGAACAGGATGAGAGGTAAAAATGAGGCTGTTGGCGAAAAGCGTGAACTTGTCTTTAAGAAATACGGACAGGAGTATGGCCAAGTGCTCCGAATGCTTGGTAATGGCCGGCGTGAAGCCATGTGCGTTGATGGGAGGAAGCGACTTTGTCACATCCGCGGTACAATGCATGGATAGTGATGAATTGGGACTTACTTAGCCATTAATAGAATCCGGAGCCACTCTCCTCAGAGGTGGATCCAGGATTTCAAGATCAGGTCCCAAGATAAAAGTTAAAAAAAAAAAAAACAAAAAAAAAAAAATTAGACTAGTTTGATTCTATATCACTATTTTTTATTGAATTTGGTTCATTGAATAATCAAAATTAATCAACCACATCAAGTGATCCAGTGGTAAGGGTGCGGATTTTGGCTCTCAAAATACAAAAAACAGGGAGGTCCCGGGTTCGATGCTCCAAGCTGGTGAGTCTTCTTGACTGTGGTCAGGAGAAAGCTGAAATGCTTATGTGAGTCTTCCAGACCCCTAGAAGGGGTGGATAACCGTGACTTGCCACTAGTTGTCCTGCTTTTAAAAAAATAATAATAATCAAAATTAATCTCAAAGGTAATAAAACCAACAAATTCTCCTTAGCAACATAACGCATCAATTAATGAATCTATAAAGATGAAATTTGTTAATATAACATATATATTACAATTAGGAGTTGAGACTAGAGTCTAGGATTAAAATACTTAAATGAATTTGGAAGAAACAAAATTAGGTAGCTAGAGGTGGTGCAACGGCAAATGGTGCTAGGGAATGGGGTAACTTGAGTTTACAATTGAGAGGTTGCGACAATTTGGAGGATTAAAATAAAAATTAGAAACCTCTTCTTCTTCGTTATAAGCATTGCTGCATGCACATCCATGGAGGCAACAAGCCTCTCCGCTGCACCTGCTCAAATTGTTGGAAGGTCCCGAAGGTCAATCACAAGTGTTTCTTCAGGCTTTCAAAGGGTCTCGGGACTTCCCGGGTCCCTATATGGATCCGCCCATGACTCTCCTTGATCCATCACGAATCGCGAATGAAGAGTATAGACTTCTGGCACATGGTCAGCTAACTAAGGTCATCTTCAATTGACACGGCCAAATGGTCATAGGACTAAAAATAACTCGAAATGACATGAAAACCTTCCAACCGAGGACTAGGCCAAAGGGCTTGTGGGCCCTACCGGGCCAAAACCTCCAAATCAGGCCAGCAGGCTGGTCATTTCCAGCCAGTCAACCCTCCAGCGCCAGAATGTCAAGCTTGACATTTTGTCAGCCCTCTAGCTCAGCCTATTTGAATGACAATGGCTACCTGGCGTCATGCTATCGTCAGGTTACCGTTAGAATTTGATTTTTTTTTTTTTTTTTTTTTTTGGGACAAATTTATAAAAAACATCTAATTTTTTTTTCTTATAAATACCTAAGCCATTCCTACACTATTTCTCACATACTTTTCACCATTCCATATTATCTTACCTCATTTTATTTCAATTCTTCACATTCTATTCTCTTACCCCTTCCAATAATCTTTCCTTTAATTTTTTCAATAATTTTGAAATGGCCACATCTACAATGAAAGGAAGGGCTTTAACCCAAAAAGAAGATAAAACTCTTTGCATGGCTTATAGATGGGTCTCGGAAGATAGTGTCAAGCGTAGTTCTCAAACAAGTGAAGGTGTTTGGACTCGTACGTCCAAAAAGTACAATAAGTTCTACGAATGCATCTGTTGACTCTAAAAATTACAAAACCTACGTGGCGCGCAGACCGAGTAACTAATAAGCTAACTACGTCCTTCGATTGAATGCAGGGCGTGCCAACTCGTCGGCCGAGGAGTAAAATTCGTTGATGTCGCGTTGAGCGCGTTGCTGACTTCTTTATCTTGAGACTGCGACCGAGGAAGGAACACTATCGGTCTTTGGGTTCTAGAGCCTGAAGAAAAGGCTGCTAGTTCTGCGAAGTTCACAAATCGTCGGCACCCGATTCGGTCACCGTGATTATATTCGTAAGAGTATAAGCACGTCGAATCGACACCAGACTATACGAACACAAATATTCAAAGGTGATGTATGTCTTGATGGTGAACGTGGTTCGGCCGTCAGAATGCCGAACTCTAAAACTCACTTGTGAATATCTAATCATAAAATCACTCGGTGTCCAGTACGCCAAATGTCGTAATTCGTAACACCTTACATCGTCGAGAGGGCTAATAAGATGACCCCTGCCAATAAGAATTTGAAAACCCTTCTCGGCCTAGACTTGGATAGGTAACCAGTCGGCCTCGATGCAGTGCTGTTTATCCAAACTGAAGGTGTTCCTCGGTCGGCTGATTCTACGGCAACAGTGCTGTTTATCCAAACTGAAGGTGTTCGCCGGTTGCCTCCACAGTGCTGTTTATCTAAACTGAAGGTGTGTCGGCGGAAAAAGGAAAATGAAAAATCTCAAGATGTTTGAGAGGTTTTGCGCAGAGCAATTGTGTGTTGAGTTGAAGGTCCTCAATTGTTGCATGATTTTTTGTATTTATAGCACCAACTCCTTCTTGAGATCGAATTAAACTCCTACCCGGATTGGGAGTTCCTGTTTCGTTCCGACTCTGCTTCGAACAACTCTACTCTCACTAGGACTTTGAACTCACCCCCTTTTGGGGCTTTATTCATAGTCGGTCTAGAATCCTAATTGCACCACGACTTCCTCGACCCTCTTTGCTTATCTGAACTACTCCTTCTTACGATAGGACTCGACCATCCTTGCTAAATGGACCGGAATCATCAGGCAGCCCATAGTATTTTTGACATGGCTTTGGGCCGAGCCCAACCCTACACTCGGCCCAACAATATTATTTTGGGCCCAAACAACATCACTCCACCGAATCCCTAAAACCACAAGAGTTGTTCTTCAAGATGGAAACAACACAATCTCCACCCTAGTACTACTTGTGGCACGCGAACGTATCATCCTACGATGCCTCATGTACTCATTTAAAGAGATATTACTAGTTCTTGGATTCAAATGCAAATTAGGTCCATCATGTATTTTCGCATCAGCAGGAGAGGCAAAGGCCAGCACTGGGAGTGCAATGATAAAGGTCTAAGTTTTTAAGATAGAGACAGAGCGCAAAGTGTGCAAACAAATTTCAATCTTCACAGAGGAATTTCATCGAACAGTTGGCGGACTTGTTGTCGTCGGCTGAATCATGTTGCACTTTTATCAACAGATATCAACATTTACCGAAGCAAATTGATGAGTACCATCATAAGCATTTGTAGACTGTTGTCACCGCAACATTTAAAAAGTCTCCGAAAAACCTTCACGTACTTGTTTCCCGACCCTTGTATGGTCTTGGGACCACCTTGATTCAATGTACATCCGCCCTATGGTTTTGTATTTCCAGATGGTGAATTGGTCATGTTCCATGTAGCATCTGTTTTTTCCTAATATATCTATTACGCTTGTCTTCAAAAATTGATTAATTGTAAAATACAGCGGATATAAAAAAAATCATTTGGATAGAGAAAACTAAAGCAAACCCTAAACATATAACGAGCAAGAAATCTTAATTCTTGACCCACAAGAAAAGAAAGAGTACAGACACTTCAACTCCAATACACCGAATCCAAAACAGAGAAAATACGAGACAAAGTGACAAGTCGTGATCCATCCTAATCGCAGTTACGCATGCAGCAATCTCATGACAAAGATACTCCAAATCATGTTCAAGTGCTCATCCAAAGACAGTTAAACAATTATACAGACGTCCTATGAAACAAAAACTCGACAAGTTACTGCACGTTTGTGGGTGAAGCAGAATGCACAGCATGCAAGAAATCCAAGCAACAAATTATCGACTTCGAAGAAAATGGTGACAATGCAGCACAACAAAAAACCAGAAACAGTAAAAACGAAACGCAACAAAGACGAGGGCTGGAGGAGAAACAGGACTATGGGCAAAGCTCAAGGGAGCCGAAACCCCAAATTTTGATTTTATTTCCTTGCTGAAATGAGAAGCCACAGAAAATAAGATGAGCATAACGAACTTAAAAACGCAATAAAAGGAACGGAAAAGAAAAAGAACATGGATATAGAAGAAATTGTTCAATGTGTACTTTCAGGAGAATGATGTATCCGACTTAAATTTACCGAATCAGACTCATTAGACCCCGAAATCAAAGCCTCACAAGCCTTTGGGGAACCCTTGGGTATTATTAAAGGACCAGTTACTGCATCTGCCGCACCGTCGATAGAAGCCTGACCAATTGAATTATCATCTTTAGTCTTGCTAATCACATTTGAGTCATTAGCTGCTGCAGGTAAAGTGGTGGTAGCAAGAGATTCGTTATCAGGTGATGAGAAACCATTTGCATCGCTATCATCTAATTTCGCCTGGTCCGAGGATTCTATTTCCACCCCATTTGAGATTGTTTGGGGATCCCCTGCTTTGTTTCCACCATTATCATCAACTGGCATTCCCAACATAGGAGAAGGGACGCATGTGCCATTCTGCACCTCGTGATTCGGAGATGAAACTGGTACCTCCAGTCTCTCCTCGGCGCCATCACCCGATGCAGTGCCAGCATTTTTATAATCTGGAGCGTCTGCCATTTCTATATCAGAAGCCGGGACTAACTCCTCTACTTTCTCCCCATCGCAATGGACTTTTGCTTCCATATTCTCCTGATTAGATGCTAAAATAATGTCCAATGCTCCTCCAGCAATAACTGGCAAGACTCTCGTTTCCATCCTCTGCTTCTTATAAAGATTCATCGCTTTCTGCAAGTCAGAAAATAAAAAAAATGTCGGGCAACTAGGATGCAAGTACGCAAGCAAATACACTGTTTGACTAAAAGAAAACAGAGTTGAAATGTCATAATAAAACCAAAATGAGAAATAGTAAAGTAATCCGAGTAAATTAAACAGTAACTTAACAACCAATTTAAAAATAAATTAGTAAACCATATATCCATTATGATAATACTCCTACCAAATAATAATGCCCAAGAATTATTAACCCGCATCTTGCTCATGCATCAATTCAATATCCTGCTTTTCTGAGTAAAGAAATTTCAGCTATTTTTTTCAAAAAGCAAAATCACAAGTTTAAATATTTACAATAATGTGTTCATTAGCATGCATGCCTCTTAAATCACGCCTGCATTCATACCACTAACCTCAAAATGCATGTCAGGAAATACAACAAATACAAAATGTATGACTAACTTCAGATAGAAATGAACAAGATAAATAACATTATCATTCATCATAAAGTGTACCTGAAAGACAGAATCCTTCAAGGGAGGAAAAGGCGAGGACCTCAATAAGATTTTGGACGATTTCAATCCTGCCCTTGCACCCTGTGACATTAGGAGAGAAGATGCAATCAGTAAGATTAGATTCTAGAAGCAAAACGCAATAAAGAATGTTTGAGAAAGAATCCGCACCTCCAAAATTGTGTGTGTAGTAGCATCTTCATCAACAATTGGGCTCCGCTCAATACACTGCGTATACACCTCGGGATGAGTAAGTTTTGCTGAAATGTCAAGCTTGGAAAGATAATAATGACTTAAACAGAGGATGTCATCACTTCGTAATTTAGAGCGACCAGGTGACTTATCATGACCACTTTTAGGCATAGACTCCTTTAGAGGAGAGGTCATAGTGGACCTTCTTTCAACAGTTCTAGAAATTCCAAGATCCAGGTTATCCTCATGGTGAGGCGCCTGACCCATCTTCCCAGCCACAGCATCATCCATAGCAGCCTGCACAGGATAATCATCTTTCTGAACTGGGGAAGGCAAGTCCCTTTTCACATCGTTGTTATGTACTTTCCATGCCTCACCGCTGGATTCCCATCCACGAGCATTCATTGGATGCCTGCTTTGATCCCATTCAGCACCCCCATACATGTGATTCTCATCCCTAAAGGCACCATTACTCACATCCCATAGATGCATGTGGGAAGGGCCTGGACCATCCATCATGTTCTGCCACCCAAGTGGCCGCAAGTGACCGGGAAATCTCTCAGCATCAGCCATATGATAAGGCATCCCAGAGTGGTTGATATCCATTGAAGGTCTAACACCAAAAATTGGTGGAGCTGGAAACTGCGGTAACATCCCCTGAAAACCACCATGAGGTGCCCCATGTTGGAAATGCATGAACCCATTTGGCACTGGTGAAGTCCAGCTTGGAATGCCCCTCCATGCATTACCATTACCATGCCCTCGAACCACATTGGGATCACTACTCCTTCTGTAACGTGCACTGGAGTTGCCTCTACCATCTTCTTCCATTGAACCAATAAAAGGGCTGTCAGCTCCGGCCCTGAAATTGGGATGAGGAGGATACAGAGAAGACAAATTACTCTGACTACTTCTATTGTGAGCTGACGAATCAGCAGGAGATGACTCGTCTACCAAAGGCTTCTCTGATGGTAGGTCCCGACCCAGTCCATCCTCAGTGTTAGAGAAATCTATATTGTCCATGGAAGCACTGCTTCTTCGACCTGTTTCTTCAATGTCAAGACTCCGTCTGACACCAGTTCTGTTGATGTACCTGCGGTCAATACTTGATGATGAAGGAGACCTTTCCATCAAGGGCAGGGGTGAAGCCTTGGAAATTGAAGACTTGTCATTTGACATCTCGCCTAAATGGTTATCATCCATTTTATTGGGTCTCTCCATGGATCTGTACTTGAAACTTCTTTCTGAAACTCCAGCCAAACCAGACCCATCTCTAGGAGGCATTGCTTTGGACCTATGCTCTACTCCAGAATCCCTATATTTCAAATCTTCTGGATTCGAATACCTTGGGCCAGGAAAAAAAGATGACATATTAGCATATAACACAAAAATTCATCACAAAAAACGAAAGGGTTAAACACAATCACAGTATTTCCTTTCCAACCATGAAACTTTTCTCATAGATTAAAGTTAGTTTGGTTCAATGTTAAAGAGCATCTTATTTCACAGGATCCCAAACTACCATATTCTATGTGTGCGTGTTAAACATATATATCTAAACTATACCAACTCCAAACACAATTTTCCCATTGCATACAGAACTCTGACGGGGAAGAGACAAAAAGGGTTGAGAAGAGAGAGAGAGAGAGAGAGAGAGAGAGAGAGAGAGAGAGAGAGAGAGAGAGAGAGAGAGAGAGGTACCTGTACTCATCTATGCCGCCATGTGAATTAGAAACGGGGGAAGTCCTGCGTTTATTGCTACTCAATTTAGTGTCTACATAAGCTTGCCGTGACTGAGATCTTCCCTTATTAACATCAGGCTCAACTCTATCACCACTCGATGACTTCTTTTCCAAGTCAGAACACCGAGCTTTCATACCTCTAGATTTATCACTGCCATCATCGCGGTCATCCGGAGATCTTTTCTTTCCCCTGCTACTATCTTTGTATCTAGTGCTCCGATCATCAATATGTGACCCATCATAGTCCCGATCATAATCTCGATCACCATCTCTATCACGGTCTCTGGCCCGATCACGGTCATGATTGCGGTCTCGCTCGCGGTCCCCATCCCGCTCCCGATCACGGTCCCAATCCCAATCACGATCATAATCACGGTCACGACCATGATCCCACCCATGTTCACGTTCACGATCGCGATCATGGTAGCGGTCGCGATCACGAACATGATATGAGTCACGGTCCCTATTGCGATCGCGATCATGATCTACTTTGCTTTCCCCATCCTGGATCTTGGATCTCTTCTGTTGCATTTCTATCAAATCTTTTTCATCTTTCAAATGCTTGTCATCAGACTTGCTGCTTGCATAATCCTTTGGAGGGCGCTCATCTCGGTGCTTATTGTCCTTATCCGCATCTTCCCGATGCTTTTCTCTGTATCTCTCATCCTTCCGCTTCTCATCCTTCTTCCTGGTATCCCTGCCAGAATCATCCCTATAAGATAATCGCCCATCATTGATGTCTTCCACATCATCTAGATGCTTATCCCCATCACCAACATCATCTCTTCTTTTCCTCATTCGTCTATCAATCTGGTTATCTGCATCAGGACTTTCCAATTCATCCCGTGCATTTAAATCTGCAAACCCACATAAAATAAGACATAGATTTGCACTCCAAAATAAAACTGCGGACACAAAATTTAATTTTAACAGTCATCTATCTACTGTAGAATATTGGCATCTCGTTAATATCAAACAATATGATCTAATCTATTTGCCTCTTCATTAACAGCAGTAATTCACATCTTAGCAATTAATCCAGCAATTGACATCCATAATTTGTGCCTTCAAACATCTAGTTCCATTCCAAACCAATATTAAATGTTAACTAAAATAAAAATCAGTTAAATGATTATAACTATTATTAAAACAGCCGACAGGATAAGCCCTTTCACATACAACAGTTATTAACATTTGAGGAAAAACAATTAAAATAACAACCGATGTGGAAAAGAACAATTAAGAAACTAAACCGATCAACCTGATTAAGGAAAAAGGGTGTAATCACAGACAAGGGAAAGATAACATTCAACTACGCAAGTAATAAAACGATAACTCATAAAACCTATGAATAAGAGAAACGCAAACCAGACTCAAAACAATCATTTAACATCTTCATGAGAACAAACAACCATTTAGATAATCAGCAAGACAACCAAAGTATCATAAAGATGAAAATCATTATCAATCTGGACTTAATGAAATCAAAGGAAACAGCTACAGCTCCAAATTTTTCTCAAGTATGTTTCAATCAAACCCCGATTCACATATGGGCATGAGCAAATTTCAGCAAGTGATAAAAGAAGGTTAAGTGCACAGACTCAATAGAATGGCACCTCTGCGCTGCCCCATGTCTTAAGTGCACAGACTCAATAGAATGGCACCTCTGCGCTGCCCCATGTCTTACTCCGACCATTCATAATCTTAAAAATTAGTATTAATTCCAAAATGTAGAAATGAAACAGTCACATCAAGGAGACCAATGAGAATTTGCCAACTAACAGGCCAGATAACCGCACTCAACCCCACGCAGTCACGTGGGTCATTCCAACATAGCACCTAATTGTTGGTTTCCCCAGATGTCACATTAATTGATTGCATCCAGCGTAAATTTGGGAACTAGAAAATAAAAATTTGACCATAACGATCACTGACAAATTACCAATGCAAACCCAATGTATTTCAGTGTCTACAGAACTAATAATGACCAGGGATGTAAATACTAATGTACAAATACATAAGTGGGTCCCACAAATAAGGCAGACTGCAGCATCCAATAGATATGTGATAATACAAAGGCCACCCTAGCAATCACTTTTAGATCATCAACTCAAAATTGATCTATATATCAATATGATACAATAACTGCAACATAAAAAGCATTAAAATCTATGCAGAACTTTTCTCACATTAAGGATGGTGATATGATTTTAAAAGCATACATGTGATTGTGTTTACCGTGAACGTTCTCAGTGTTAAGCTTTCCATTTAGTACCACTCCCACTTATGATATGCAATATATCAAAATCCAAATTAACCAAGATTCAACAAATCCAAATATACTTTCCAATCAAATTATGCTCGAAACTCTTGTTGATCTAATACGGCATGCTCCAAGTGTTTATAATCCCTAAACCTATTGAAGAGCTCAATTCCCACCAAAATGATTGTTTGTATTCTTCCAAACCCAGCGTCAGCTATTCAAAATCATATTAATGATCACGCAAGGTAAACCATGAAAGGAATTCGTTTCCACTAGTTAGTGCTGTAGAGTTGAAGGTGCAATGACATGAGAAAACATAACGTTGTATTATATTGTCACTCATCACAGTAAACTATGTTGAACTAAACTGAGTGAAAAGTTACCATATTCAAAATTATCAACATTCTCCTAATGGGGAGTAAAACGGTAAGAGTAAGTCCGTATAGTTAACTAGTCATAACAAGTAACACATTGCTGGAAAAAAAAATCCATATAGATGTATAAACTACAAAATAACGAACAAACCCTATCAGTTACCATACCAGTTTTTTCATTGACTTGCTTGGCAATGACACGTTGTTCATCGACCAATCGCTCCGTTCTCCCATCTTTACCTTTCTTTTCCCTTTCTCTCTCCCTGTCCCTTTCCTTGTCCCTCTCTGCTCCACCACCTTCCTTACCATCCTTTCGAATCGACTCCTTATCCCTATCCCTATCCCTATGCTTCCCTTCACCCTTTCCACTACTAGTCGAACTCTTCTTCACTTCGCCTCCCTCTGCATACAACTCCACACTCTCATCTCTCTTCTTACTCTTGGACTCCCCTGATGCCTTCAATGACTTCTTCGAACCCTCACTGCTTCTTCGGTTATCATTCTCCCCGCCATTCCACCTATCACTCCCTCCATCATCAACCCTCTCCTTGCGCCGCTTAGCCGATACTGAATCCTCCAAATAGTCCCCGTTCCCGGAGCCGCCATACGAGTCCTTCCCATTCTTCAAATCAAGCTTCCGCTTCTCACTCGAACTTGAATCCTTTAAAACCCTAACTACACCGCTCTCTTCCTTGCTCTTACGATCCTTCAAGCTCGAATCCTTCTCCGAATCCGAGTACTCCCTGGCATCCCTCGAACTATGCTTGCTTGATTTGTGCCTTGTACTCCTCGGCATCACAGCGAAACACTCAAAATTCAAAAAATCTAAAATCTCCCCCGACGAAAATTTGAAATTCCAAATCGAATAACGAAAAAACCCCAGATGCAAATCGCCGAGACAGACTCAATGCTCAGATTGGAGATTGAAACCCTAATTATAACGAAACCGAACACTCCAATCCAATGTGCAAAACTGGAAACCCTAATTCTTTGAGGGTTGAACCAATCGCAGAAGAAAAAAAACTCGCACTGGAAGGGAAGAGTGGGCGGCGGAGGAGAGGGCGGATCGCCGGGGGATGGAAGGTGTGAGATTGAAACCGAATATGGTGAAAATTACAGCCGAGACAAAGAGGGAGTGGGCGTCGGCTGGGGATAAATGTGGAAAAACATGTGATGAGAGAGAGAGAGAGAGAGAGAGAGAGAGAGAGAGAGAGAGAGAGAGAGAGATTCGGAGAGTGAAATGAGCTAATGAGACTCGGAGACGACTTGGTGCCTTGGTGCCTTGGTGCCTTGGTGGACAGTTTTTGTGTTTTTTATCTGACGCGATTGCCCTTCATATTTTCCGTTTATTTCGATTCCCTTTGGGATTCCGCTGATTCTGCACTTTCCCACTTGAAAAAATTAATTAAATAAATAAATTTGAGAAATTCTTATATTTTCCTTTTCAGTTTTTTCATTTTGTTGGAGCCTTTTCCTTCTTAGTTGTAAACAGTGTTTGAAATTTTTTTGATAGAGTCATTAATTTTTGTAAAAATATTTTAAAAATTAGAGAAACTTATAGAAAGCGAGTAAAGTCTAAATTTCTCAAGATATCGGATAAATTCTTAAATTTCATCTAAAAACACCATATTTCATCAATATTTCTAACATTACAACAACAACAATAATAAAACATTTTTCCCACTAAGTAGGATCGACTGTACAAAATCCTAGAACGACATTACGCTCGATATTTCCAACAATTCCAACATTACAAGTTAAATATTGACAAACGATCATATGTTCCTAAAGTTTTACTTTAAATGTTCATGTTTTTTAGCAAAACTTCCATCATTTTCATTGAAGGCTTCCAATATTGATATTAGTATATCCACCAATATTCCACAAATTTACATATCAATTTTCTACTGATACCGATATTTTAAACGTTGGTTGTAAATAACCCAGAGGTAAGGGTGAGTACAGAATAATAGATAAGTAGGAGTAACTAGACAAACAAAATCAAAAATTCATAATTTCTCGTTTGGTTTCGATTAAAGTTGTAATTTTCAGGGCATTGTCTCGTTAGTGATAACAATTCAAATGCACAATGGATTCAAAGGGATGGTAGAATCATCGACTACCTTTAACATCAAGGGCCTTGCTACGTTTCGCAAGTTAACTACAAAAAAACCTACAACCTCGCCCGCCCGCCTCAACCGTGTTGCAACCCGAGACTATTGCTCGGGTTGTTACGGTGCCACTTGACACCGTTACATTGTTCCCGGAAAAGAAGGATGGAACATCGACCATAAACATTGTTTTTCCCTTAGCAGTCGATTAAACATGGGATTTTCCGAACAGCTGCATTCTTTAAATCAGCCCCTGTCGCTGCAGATCAGTATATGTCTTCTTATTGTATATGTTACCTTCTCTGTCTTCATACTCTTCTTCAAGATCCGGGCGCCATTTGTTTACACCTTGCCGTGCTTGTATCCTCTTCCATAGTTCTTTAGCTTCCTGCGTAAGTGAAATGGTTTAGACTTCGGTAAAATACTAAGCTAGCGAATTATTCGAAAAAGAATATACCTCTATTGATGTGATCTCGTTGAAGTTCTTCGTGTTTGGTATACCTAGGCAACGCATACCATGCTGATGGCGCCATTCCTTAAAATGTCTCTCAAATGCTCTACGCCCCCAGTAACTGTAATTCCCGCATATCTCGCACTTGAATTCCTGAAATGCATGAATAGAGTTGCAATCACCTGACCTCTAGTTTATGCAAAAATAATACTAGAATGTTCAAGAGATAACTCAATTGGCAACGCCAAGCTGGCAAAAATACACATAATAGTGAAAAAAGAAGACTGAAATTTATTTAGTTCTTTAATAAAAAAAACAAATTGTATAGATGTTATACATGCACCGGCAACTTGAAGATAAGAAATAGTCCCCGGGCACTTGAAGATAAAACACGATTCAGATTCAACCGGGAAACAAGGACGTAAGTATAAAATCATTCTGGAAAATAAATAGCTTACCTGACCAAGACCATGAAGCTTATACAGCCAGTAGGGAATGGGCTTCCCATCCCAACCCATTGGCAATTTCAGTGGATTGTAAATCTGCTGTTCATCATCATCACTTTCAGTATCGGCCTGTGTCTCTTCCTGTGAGGAATCAAACCCAATCAAGCATCCGTTAGAAACCATTACAAATTTGATCAACAAAGAAAACTAACTATTCTATGATTTCATTGATGTCAACATATTTCTTCAGGGGGTGATTTCTTACCTCTTCACGTTCTGCTTCAATTTCTTCATATGTCAAAGCCTGTTTCTTCATGATGTTGTCTTTTGTTCTTTCAATAGCCTGCACAAATCCGACGATAATTTTTTGTAAATGTGTACTGATATTCAAACTCCAACAAAAACAATGAAAATAGGCAACTACAGAGACACAAACATGTAAGACTGGGAAATTAGGAAATATATGCCAACCTCAGTCAGTAAGTCGCATAATTTTTTTGTTTTGGCCTCCAATAAAGCAATTTCTTTTAAATTGTCAACTTGTTGTGGAGCTGCAGCAGCCCCATTCTGTTCTGCACCACGCGAACCTTTGGCAAAATGTTTCTTGTCCAACTTCTCCAGAGGTGTGTCCTGCGTAAAATAAACAGATATTTAAGTACTACGTGGCACAGAGATTTTATTAGAAACGGTGAAAAAATGTCAAATTATCTGACAGGTTTCCATAAGGATTCAAATTTGTGAATAACACATCATTAACATAACATGAAGTGCAATGACTTGGGTAAGCTAGGGCATTCTGATTTTTGGCTAATTTAGCAGTCTTATTGATCCCCATCAAAACAAGAAAGCAATTTTAGGACATTTCAAGTAGTTCCAATTGAAATACTCCCTACAATACTGATTCAGAAACTAGAGAACAGAAAATGTACAAGCACATATCAAATATGCCACTTTTCTCAAAAAGAAAAAGTTACAGAACAATCACCTTCGTAAGGAAAAGCCTCTCTGCACGCTGCTGAACAGTACCACCTGTCTTCAGTCCTAATGAAGCTAGTGCCTGGCAGATAATTAAAGAGATAATATAAGAAAATTTTCTTTTTTATTTTGTGAGAGAAGAATATATAGAGCTTGCTTAAGATGTGTTCTAAACTTAGGATTGAACTTGGATTATATTTTTTTGGGTGAAATAAATTATATTTTTTTGGATGAAATAAATCTGTTCTAGTTCTTTAATTTCATACACATTGAACAACATTTATTGAGTACAAGATATTTTAATCCATTTTCGATTACATATGAAAGACTGCACAAGTAATTTTGGAAACTACTCGACTTTGAGCATCTAGAACAAAAAAAGAGAAGACAAACCCTGATCACTAACTATTAACTTCCTCCCATTTTTGGCATTCGCTTCTTTCTCTATGTCTCACTTTAGTACTAAACCGTTTCTATTAGTCAACAAGTTAATGTTGAGCTTTTGACAATCATTATTTACTATAACTTAGTAACTTTTTACCTCAATCTGTGAGCATTTAGGGTCTAATTTTTTGCCAATAACTTTTCTTTTAAGTTGTAAATGTCACCCTTACCTCCTTTAGCTTTTCAGGGCCCACTTCCATCAGTTCTTCCACCGTGCTATAATAATCAAGATCGATCATAGTAAGTTGATCTTGAACATGCCCATTTTCTTGCTTCTCATTTTCCCATCCTTTTACCTTGCCATCTGCCCATTGCTCTTCAAATTCGGTTTCAACCTGTCAAAAAAATACCGTACTTCAACATTCCAAATCCAACCACAGTCCAGGATCATAGATACCATGGAATTATATCGAACCATGCCTAAATTGCAATAGCCCAATCAACAGAAAACATTAAGTTCACAAAGACAAAGGTAACTATGATAAATTGGTTTCATAACTATATACATACATAGACGTTGTTAACGTCCATGTACAAGATGAATTACTACTATGCTCAATTGTGATTCAAGCCTTCAAATCATTTAAAGATAACAAGGTATGCTTGAGTACAATGTTTATCATTATTTTGGGCAAATTTACTAGAGTAATAGTGAATTATAACTTTCTAGCCAAAGAAAATTCATAACTGGAAACTTAAGAATGAAAAATATATATTTCAGATTCACTTTCCTACAAAAGCAAGACTAAATTGATGCTATTGCATCACTCTAATATAAGTAAAGGAGAGTATTGATTTGGACCTTCAAAAATATTCTGTCAAGATCTTGCAATGGCTCTGTCCTCTGGAAAAAATATATCAGGTATGCAAGTAGATTTTCCATATATTCCTTGTACTGCCTGAAAAATAAAACAAAATCATTCCCAAATTTCATGTACATGAATTAAAAGTAACGGCGGAAGAAAATAATATAACACTTCACCTTGCCGACTTCAGCTTGTGTGGAATCTTTTGTGGTTGTGAAAAAGCATCAAGATAAGCAGAGTACTCGATAGGTTCTCCAAATTTGGAATTAATATACTGGTTGTATAGTTCATGCAAGTCAAGGTATCTTCCAAAAGCTTCCTGAAAACAGAACTAAACAAATCAATGAAAGGATATGAAGTATAAATGTAACAACTAAGTAGTGCTTATCAAAAAAAAATGAATACAATAACCTGAATAAATAAAGATAATAACCAGATATACCCATCTGTATTATTTGCCTATCTATACAGTTACTGTCCAATTGGAAAACAAACAAACAAAAATGAAGTAGCATTTTATGAAAAATTGATATTTCCACAGCTTGTGTGCAAGGGAAAATAACTGAATCAATCTAGTTCACTTGTCTTTGTAACTTCAAGCATTTTTTACACAGGCATGCATACACACAGACATAGATACAGAGACAAACACAGAGATGGAGAAAGAGAGAGTGAGAGTGTGAGAGAGAGAGAGAGATATTGACCTCTCCACTGAACTCGATTTGAGGTTCCTCCTTTAGCAGTGCTTCTTCTTCCTCATTAGCATCAACAACACGAGCAACTGGGTGCTTTCGGTGATACTCACGAATCTGCAGATATGGCAAACATTTCACCAATAACTTAAATTACCTTCAGATTTTGGCAATTAATTGATAGACGGACTGATAACCTACTTAAGTACTCTGAGTTCTCGTTTTTGGTTTCCCAACTAAATTTTGGATAATCAGAACACAATGCACACACTCGTACGCGCAAAAACACAACTTTGAAAAAACCCTCAACCCTCACCCTTCCATCGATGAATAAACACCATTAACATCAGAAGATTCAGAGCTATAATTTCTTCATCCAATAAAATCGACAAACAAAACAAAGAGAAAGAAAGAAAGAAAGACATACCTCTTTCAATCGATCATAAAATGCGCTGAAAACGTTGGTGCCAGTGGCAGTCTGGCCTCCGAGAGCCGCAATCTCGTCCTTCCTCGCATTATCTTTATCTTCATAGATGTCAATCTAAAACCAAACACACAGAAACCCCAATTAGCAGTCAAAACCATAAACCCTAGGGTTTCCGCAATTAAAAAAAAAAACCCTAAGTTCAAAAAAATCCACACACATTCCGTACATTCTCAATCGCACAGAATATAGGAGGTGAAGAGAGAGGCAATAATAATACGTACCAGTTTTTCGGTGGTGGAGGTGATGGTGTCGATCATTTGGCGGACGCGGTGGCCCTGGTACAAGCGGTCCTTGCTGGACGGCGGCTCGTTCATGAAGTCCTTCACTATCAGCCGCTCGAGCCGCTCCACCTCCTCGTGAGCGGCACGTGTCTGCTCCAGTAGCGTCGACGACATCTTCTCTGCCAAACGGAGGAGCTACCGAGCCACGGCTTCTCTCTCTCCCTCTCTCTACGCTTTGCCTCCGTCTCTTTGCGGACGAAGCAAAATCTATAATTTTTAGAGTGAGAAGGAACTGGTGACGTGGCTTTTAGCTGTAATGCCATCTCCAACCGATTCATACAAAAGAATATAATAGTTCAGAATGACACGAAAATCATTTCCAACTGAGGGCTAAGCTAAAGGGTTTGTGAGTCCCACCCCAGCCAGCCAACCCTTCATCCCAGCCCTCTGGCGCCAAAATGTCAAACTTGACATTTTGCCAGCCCTCTAACTCAACCTATTTGAATGTCAACGGCTATTTGGCATCAATATGACTTCAGCCAACAACGGCTAGCAAACGTCATGTTGTCGTCAAGTTACCGTTGGAATTTGAATTTTTTTTCTTGGAAGAATTTTTTTTAAAAAAAATAAAATCTATTTTTTTCTTATAAATACCTACAACATTGAAAGTTGATGATAAGAAGTGTCACGTAGATAAGAATCTTATCTAAAATTTGCACAACCAATTACATCTCGACACATAGCACTTAAAATCTTATCTGAAACATTTTTAAGATTACATAAATATAAGAAATCTGGAGAGTTACTCACTTTAGCATCACGTGTTACTCGAAATCTTATCCGAAAAATTATTGAGATTACATGAAAAAGCTTGACAGTATTGATCTATCTCCACTAGGGCTGGGCACGGGCCGGGCCGGGCCCAATTTTGAAGGGACCGGACCGGACCTAGGTTCAAAGAGAACGGGGCGGGCCGGGCCGGGGATTACATTTTCTAATATAAGAACCGGACATTACCCGGCCCGGTTGAAACGGGCCGGTTCGAGCCGGGTCCACGGGTCCTTTATTTTTTTTTTTTTGGTTGTTTGAAAAAAAAAAAAATTTGTACGGGTCCACGGGTCCTTCTCTCTCTTCAACCGCGCCGCCGTGTCCTCCAGTTCCAGCAGCGCCTGCTGCTCTCTCGGTGCCCCTTCGAAAGTGCTCCCAACGAAAAACGAAAACGGCGTCGGAAACAGGTTCCGTCGCAGGTCCTGCACATCCTTCTCCGGCTTCCCGCCCAACCGATTTGACAACCGAATCACATCCTTCATATACGACTCGACCTCGCTGGCCAACGCCTCCAGGTCCTCATCGCCGTCGTTCGACGGCCGGTCTTCGAGCCATTGGACCTCCGCCACCAGGTAAGGTTTGGTACGGACGAGGTCAGTGACCCGGAACCGCTCCTGGCCTTTGCAGATGAGGAAGAACCGGTCATCGACGAGGCGCTCGTGCTTGACGACCTCGCCGACGCAGCCAACATCGGCGGTGCCGGAGACGGCATCATTGTAGATAACCTCGAATCGGAGATCGGTCTGGAGGAGGGAGTGCATCATGATACGGTAGCGGAACTCGAAGATCTGGAGGGGGAGGATGGCGCTGGGGAAGAGGACGAGGGGGAGGGGGAAGATGGGGAGCTCGAGCGAGGTCTGAGACGAGAGAGGAGAGGAGATTTGGGGAGTGGGGTGTCGACTGTGGGAGTCTGGCAGGCAGAGTCTGAGACTCTTACTTGAGTGCGATCAGATTAAACCAACGGATTAGATTAAATCTCAAATTTTTGGAAGGTGGAAACGGTTCGGGTCGGGGACCCGTTTCCTCAGCAATTAAGACCCGTCCCGCCCCGCAAATGACATGGACCCGCCCCCCCCCCCCCCCCCGCCCCGTTTCAGGATTTTAAAAACAGGATCCGCTCCGTACCCGCCCCGAATCGCTCGGACTCGCCCCTACCCGCGAGTCCAGGCCCCGTTTGCCCAGCCCTAATCTCCACTAGCACTAGATTTCTTCACTCTTATGAAATTAGCCATCAAACCTGAATTTTTAATAATTAACAAGTTAGAAGTTAGTTGTTAGGGAGAAGATGAGTCAATAGAGATCAAATCCGCACCAAGATGCATATACCTAAATGATTTTCACCACTGTGATAAAACGTCATTTGCACCACACTGACATCTATCATCTATAATTTCGTTAAATATGAGAGCATGACTTGTATGAAAACGCTTTTTGAGGGGCATTTATAAATTTACAAGCCATGACATGCATTTTGTAATTTTGTTCTCGTTAAAAAGATTATAAAAAATTTTACACAACCGTTAGATTCATTAACGTATATCAACAATTGTTATCTTAGAATTTTGCAGAAAATGAAGGAAAATGATTATGATTTTGGGTGAGAAATAATTTCGTATATAAACATCTTTTATGATTGAAAATGGGAGGATTTTATTTTTAAACTACACTTACGAACGGATAAAAGTGACCTTGGAAAAGAGCTCACATGCAAGTCGCGTTCTCTTGTTTGGCAAAGTTGTGAACGAAAATTAGACGAAGGTGTAATTTTGAGATCTTTTAATATTTTGTCTGGTGGTAAATGCACAAAAATTGAAAAACCAATCGGTCATTTATGCAATTTCCCTTACTTTTCTTTTTAAAATAAACCCAGTCTTTTCTCATTATTTTCTGCTGTGTGCTGTCAAGTTCCTGGAAGCCGTTGGAACTTGCAGAGTGAGAAGGGGAGATCGAGAGGAGGAGGAGGAGGAGGAGAGAGAGCTTATTGGATGAAGGGCCCATATAAGAGCCCATCTGAGGCAACAGGAAAAAAATGTTGGGCCAATGATGGGCTCTGATTTTCTAAGGTAAACGTGTCAGTAATCTAATGGGCCCAAATTATTAAGGCCTGAAAATGTTGTGTGGTGACAGATGGGAACTGAACACCAGAAAGAGCATGTGAAATACAAACCCACCCACCTTTAATAACAACTGCCTACCCCATACCAAAATGTGATTTAAACTATCCTAACTTGCCCAATTGATAAAATCATCATTTTTCTCCTTTGTTTAATCTGGTGGTATTTTTGTAGGACTGAAAGATGACAATGATATAACCGGACTCCTAGGCCCCTTCCCGAACACCAAGTTCCCCATTTTCCCCTCCTCAATTGCCCTTCCTCCTAAATTTCTCCTTCCCTTCACAGTGTAGGGCCTCTCTGAGCATATAAGACTCTTTGTCCTTGAAAAGTCTGGCTCTGCCACTGTCAGTTCGTCCCCTTTGACTATAAAATGTAAGATATGGACCACTTAAATGAAGTTTTTTGAACTTCTACCATCTTTTTTATGAGCAATACTTATTTTCTTTGTGTGAATGGGGACTATCAAGACATAAAAAATTGGCCTAGAAAGAAGCCCTTGATAAATAATGGAAATGTGTTTCACGATGTTGCTTTATATTGTAGCCTTCCTTTATTTTCTTTGTTTCTTGGTCCACTCCAAAAATGGAAAGATACTCAGCTCACAGAAGAGAGATTTCGGTAGGAATGTCAGACTACAGCCCACTGAACCATATCAATGTAAGATTGAGTAAAACCAAAATATACAATTTCATTATTTCGTCAAATTTGCTCTACAAATAACGTGACCAGTCATTCCGTCCAAGTTTTTCTAGTTAAAATCTCCCACCAAAAAGAAATATAAAAGAAGAAAAAAAAACAAAATCTGTGTTGGTGATGATTTCAGATGCAACCAAATCTAGTACTAGTAGTAAAACTTTTCCTAAGTTGTTGCCAAACATATCAAAGCATTTTGTAACGTTTTTTGTGCTATGAAAATCTGAAAGACATCACAATCATAATTGACACATGTATTTCATCCCTAAACTCCAACTAGTGATTAAGGAACGTTAATTTAAAGAAAAAGTTGTTTTTTGACCAATCAAAAGACAAAAGGTAGTATAAAACTTCAATTACTCGTTTATTAATCCGTAATCAGATTGAGAATAATTGAATCGAGGAGAAAATAGAATTGGATTTCTGTTAAAGTTGTTTGCTAAACTATATGGCGGAGTAAGAATGATGTTAGTTATTTATAAGTTGTTTACTAATTCATTTCAATTGGAATTAAAAATAAGTTGATTACTAAATTGCCCTTACCTAAAATAAATTATTTTATGCTGATTAATTAAATTAATATATATGTATGTATATAATTGAACAAGGTTTTATTTTTATTAAAAGATTGTTATTTCATTCGTCCCGTCTCTATGTTTCTCACGCCTCCCCATTTGGAAGGCGTGCACTCATGCTTCTTCCCACTCTTACCTCGTTTGGTAAACACGCCACAAGTCAAATAAGCTGGAGGGAATGTAAAAAAAAGGGTTACTGGGGTTGGTGGGAATAGTAAATCACTTTGTGATGATTCATGCTTGTGACCTTATTATTTAATTCTACATTAGTATTGTTTAAATATCATTAAGAGGAACTATTAGATTAATTAGCTTCACATTAATCTTAATCCATCCTCCAATAGAGTTTTGCGCTACCTACCCACTCATATTGCATGGTCCATCAACCTCTAATAAACCAACCCACAACCATCTAACCATTGGAATTCGGAGAGCCATGAGTCACCACCAACACCATCTTGGGACCCTGTACATTTACTTCCATCACAAATCATGTTGATAATTCTACCAACTTTTTCACGACAAACACTTATCTATTATGAAAATTTCATTATAACAGTATTTCAAGTTAATCAAGTATTTTCATACATTTTAACATTAATTTTTTAGCCAAAATGTTTCCTGAGATTGTAATAACTCATCACTTTAGTTTTTGAGATTTAAAATCGATGGAACTAGTCTCTAAGTTTGTCAAGCATCAATCATTTTGGTCATTCCGTGAAATAATCTCCATTAAATAAGGAGAAAATGTCAAAACTGCCCTCAACTTTTGTCAAATCATTTTGGTCTACTATTTATTAAATTGACGATATTTTTGTCATTTTGGTCCTTGTTTAACAGTAATTTTCACCAAACGACTGAAAGGATTGACGGTGGACAAACTTAGAGACCACTTCTATCGATTTTAAATATCAGAAACCAAAGTGAGTAGTTATGTCAATCTTACTATTTTAAGATAAATTTAAAATTTAAAAATAAAAAAAAATAAAAAAAAAAACCTTTCATGTTTTATGCATAATAACTCGCGATTGACTCCATGAGATGCCACTCGTGTGCCACCCCCGCT